GCCCATAGGAAAGGTGTTAGGTCGTGCACCACTAAACACCCCATTTCCAACTTTGTTTCCTATGAGAACATCTCACCTTCATTTCGTGCTTTTCTTACCTCTATTGACAGTATCTCTATTCCCAAGAATGTGGCAGAAGCTCTCTCAGTACCAGAATGGACGAAGGCCATGAAGGAAGAAATTGATGCTCGTCATAAGAATGGCACGTGGGAACATGTTGATCTCCCTAAGGGAATGGATTCAGTTGGATGTAAATGGGTGTTCACTGTTAAGCATGGGGTTGATGGAACCGTGGAGAGGTATAAATCTCGTTTAGTGGCAAAGGGTTTTACTCAAGTATATGGGGTTGATTATGCAGAAACCTTTGCCCCTGTTGCCAAAATGAACTCTATTAGAGTCCTTTTTTCTCTTGCTGCCAAACTGAATTGGGATCTACATCAGCTCGACATCAAGAATGCCTTCTTTAATGGTGACCTTGAAGAAGAAGTTTATATGGTTCAACCCCCCGGTTTTTTGGCTCAAGGAAGTGAACAAAAGGTGTGCAAGTTGAAGAAGTCTTTATATGGGCTGAAGCAATTACCAAGAGCTTGGTTCAGCAGATTTCATACTGCAGTTCAGCAGAGGGGATACAAGCAATGTCAGTCAGATCACACACTGTTTGTAAAAAGAGAAGGTAAAATGGCTGCCCTAATAGTAAATGTGGATGACATAATTGTTACTGGTGACTCGAAGGATGAAATTCAAAGTTTGAAGGGCTTCCTTGCCACTCAGTTCGAAGTGAAAGATCTAGGACCCACCAAATACTTCCTTGGAATTGAGGTTGCCCGATCAAAAAAGGGTATCTTCATCTCCCAAAGGAAATATGTCTTAGATTTGCTTAAGGACACTGGAAAGATTGGGGTTAAACCAGCTGACTCTCCCATTAACCCCAACCATAAGTTAAGTGACAGCCAAGGTGAACCTCTTAAGGATGTGAAGCAATTTCAAAGGCTTGTAGGGAGATTGTTGTACCTCTCTATGACTCGTCCAAACATAGCATATGTTGTTGGTGTCC